AGAGGCAATCACCGTTAAGATATACAATAAATCAAAACTTGTACTGAAGTTACAATAATTCATTTAAATAAAAATAATAATAAATTTATGGCATGAACATATGTTTTAAATTTTAGGTGAAACCTATCAATACAATAAAAAAGTTTTATTCATCAAAAATAGCCACAATATATTTCATTAGTACTGTCCAGTCAGTGCTCTCTCGTTTCCAAAGTGTCCATGTACACACTTCCTAACCCAGGGATTAAACTCACAATCACTACGCCACCAAATTTAAGCCCCTAGGCCATTGTCCGTGTACTTAAAGAGATTATGATTTTCTAAGCTGGTAGAACTACGGGACGTAATTCGTTTGAACATCCGCAAATGTAAATAGTGGTAGAATAGTAATGGGTGAGCGACGTTTCGTTTGTGGTATAAGGGTTTCAGGCTGGAAAATAATTCATTACCCACAAGGTTGCATAAATATCTAGGCCGGACAATGAGTACTGGGTGGCACCAATCCTGATATGGCAGCCATCCTACAGTCTTGGTGTAATATGACTATGTAAATACAGAGAATGGGTGCGATAGTATGTTCTAGAGCGATACAAGGGACCAATGTTCCAGTATCTTTTGTGATGGCACAAATATACGCGTTCTATTTGAGGCCAGGGGTGAACTTCCGACCCAGTAGGGGTTTCGATTCAAGGAGACATTTTGATGGCAAGACAACTCATCAGGATTTCAGCAGGTTTAGAGTCTGATCTATGGTGATGAAATAGTTTTGAATGTATTGAATGTTCATGGATTTTGTTTTGTTTTTTTTTTACTGTTTTATTTTTCGTTTATTTTTTTTTTTCTTTCTATTTACATTTTTAAGCTTCGGATGCTTCTTTGTTCGGCACACTTCTTTATTGATTCGAGCATTCTAGCCTTTAACTTTCTGTCTTCGAGGTTTTTTCATTTGTTCCTTTTTTCTCCTTGATGCTCTATCTGTTTCTTTCTTTTTCACTTCTATTTTTTTTTTTTTTACGATGGACCCATTTATTTATTTCATCCCTTTCTTATTCTTTCTTCAATGTTATTTTATTCATCAATTTTACATTATTTTGTTTTCCTTTTCTTTGATATTTTTTATTAGTTTTCGTAAATAAATATCATTTTCTTCATATTTTTTTTTTACATTCCACCGACCGATCATTTTTCCGTGTCATTCTGTTCCATTCCGTTCCAGTTGGTCTTTTTTTTTCTATTTAACTTCATTCTTTTCCATACTTATTAATTTGGGGATATATTAAACAACCTTTCTCTCTTTCTCTTTCTATACGCAGCCATCTTTCTTTCTCTGATATAGTTTTTCCTAATCTTTATCATTCTTTTATTTAATTTTCACCAAACCTAACGTTTTTAGCCATTTCTTTTTCCCTCTCTCTGCTTTGATTCACTCATTCATTTTTATTTAAGTTCTCATTCAGTTTTCCTTCTCTAATTCGCCTATATCGATTTCCTTTACTTTCTTTTAAACTTTCTTTTTATTTGTGTTTAGTTCTTTCCAGTTGTTATTCTCCTATCTCGTTTTCAAAATTCGTTTTCTGCCATTTCATTTCGACCACATTGTTCTATTCTTTTCATCTCTCCGCCCGTATTCATCTATTCCATTATTCTCTTTTCAATCTATCAACAGTTCATTCATTCGTTCGTTCCGTTTGTAGAGAAGTATATTTTTATATCAACTCCTGTCCTTCCACCCATGTCTTTATATTGAGAGCACTTAGGGCTCTTAATATCCTATTCAGATAAAATCCCTTTCTTTCTGCTTGAATCGAACGTATCTCTCGCTTAACCTGCATCCATAAAGTGCTGAACTCTATCCGTTGTGAGGAACCGATAATATGACAGGCATGTTGGATAAAAGATGTGAAGGAAGACATTTTTTTTCTGGTATGAGATGTTCACGAAGGTTTCTCTGTCGTGCTGTTCCCACTGAAATAGATCCGAACGTACTGAGATAAATAGATACGAACGGACTGAAATAAATATATACGAATGGTCTGACATAGATAGATAGATAGATAGATAGATAGATAGATAGATAGATAGATAGATAGATAGATAGATGCGAATGAACTAAAAGAAGTGTGCCTAGGAAAGAATAATTTGCTCACGAGTTTAATCCACTCGATTAAGACATTGTGGCATACCAATAACGGGAGTTTTTATGAACTATTCTAGTAATGAGACGGGAAGAAAGAAGGAGAGAGTACATGATTTACCTGGATGTAAGAGCACCAAATCTTTATAAACAGTCCTCAGAAAGAATTTGATGTATGCTAACCGATTTAATTTTCAATGTCGATATTTGTTAAACTGTTCACATATTCAGGCATAATAACATACATCCATAAATGGCTATGGATAAATTTAAATGAACCAGTTTAAACAAATACTTTAAACAAATTATGAATTATTAAAACAATTTTATTCAAAGAAAATTATGAATTAAAACGCAGTACTTGATTGGTGTCAATGTCTAAACATAACAATATATGTTCTATGCTAAAAAAAATTATTTTCTGGCACTTCTAGATTATGGAACTCTCTTGCGGCGTCTTGTTTACCAGTCAATTTTGATTGTCAAAGATTCATTTGAAATGACAATTGTCATCTTCTCTCTTCGTAGTTTTTCTTCTTTCTTCTGGTTCTCTTTCCTTAATGGTGTTTTATTCTCATTTCTGTAACACTCAATAAGCACATGCCTTTTAGTGTAGTCTCAAATGATAAAAAATAAAACTGTTCTAGATATAGGTACACACATGCAAAATGCATGTATACATTTTCTGAAAAATATAAACATATTGTTACACAAACACACAGATATATATATATATATATATATATATATATATATATATATTCATGAATTATTCACACAAAAACAAATGCAAAGGTTAATGATTTAATTGGCGAGAAATCCATCGTCGCAAACAATTCAAATAATATACAAAACCTCCGAATCCGTTATGAATGAAAAGATGAATTGTTTGTTTCTATAAATTTCTGCCGTATTAGTTCTTATTTTTACTACAATTTATACTTTTCCAAAGGTTTTTGAATTTTCGTCTGTTCCCAATGGATTAAACAGACATCTTCAGGTATAGAGTAGATGTTGTTCTTGTTTTTTCTTTTAGTTTTAATAAGAGGATCTGGACAATTTGTGTAAGAAATATGAATAATTGTTGATTTATTCAGCTGGAAAAAGAACAGGTTAGAAATTTTTGTTTCAGACAATGTCTTTTCAAATGAGCAATGGTGAGAGGAAAACGTAATCGTACCAATATTCATAACCTGGCTTCCGTCTTCAAAGTCCATTCAAGAACCATCAAGAGAAGGGCGAATAATATTTTGTTTTTTTTTTACATAGAACAATAGCGAGGAAAACTGTATCAGGATATGACAGCAGGAAGAGGGATCATCATTTCAACTTAGAGCTAGAGGCATTAATTAGAAAAGATCCAACTCAATACATAAAACGCTTGGCACGTGAGAGAGGAGTTTCAGATATGTCAGTCCAAAGAGCAGTGAAAACAGACTTGATAATAAAGTCGTACGTGAAAAGTGTGGGGCACCTTGTTACTCAAGAACAGAAATTCAGAAGGTTAGAGTGGGCGAAGATCATCATATTTGAACTTAATTTCAATCCTTTATGAGTTTCCGATCCTTAGCTATAATTAATTAATGATGGCAATGTCGTTTTCGTTTATGATCGATATCATCACCATACTTCTGCTAAGCTTAGAGAGTAATTATATATTATTATTGCTCAAAGTAGTGTCCAAAAATGTTATAAACGGAGAAATACTGTAAGATATATTTAATCACTTCTAAGATACAACAATTCAGAACTTAATGTAAGAATTGGCTGGATAAAAATATATTTACATTTCAAGTAAACCCCCACCTATATATTTATAATACCCTTGCTGCTGCTGCTGCTGCTGCTTCTGCTTCTTCTTCTTCTTCTTCTTCTTCTTCTGCACTTATTTATTTATTTAAAATAATATAGCGTCCATTAGTTCTTTTTGTTTCTGTTTTTTATTTTTTTAATTAATTATGAGGACAATTGATAAAATCGCCTGAGGATACTATAAGAATGAAACCAAGGTAACGGATACAACTAATCTCCTAATTTTCAAAGAACTATATATATATATATATATATATATATCATGGAAAGAACCAACCACTCCATAAAAATCACCCTTGGACTATTACAGTGGATTAATACAGCTGATGTTATCAACTGGTTTAATAACATCCGATATAAGAACAACTGTACTTTCATACAGTTCGATATTATCGACTATTATCCCTCTATATCGAAGAATCTTTTCACTTTGGCCTTGGATTTCGCTCGGGAATACTGCAATATTTCTGAGTGTGAAGTGGATATTATAATGAAATGCCGAAATTCTGTTCTGATCTACAAGGATGAACAGTGGACCAAAAAGTTTTGCAATGACAATTTTGACATTTCAATGGGTTCTTTGGATTCTGCTGAAGCGTCTGACATGGTTGGATTATTTCTTTTGTATAATTTAAGTGTCTTTGATTGTCTAGATTGTGATAGTGTAGGATTGTATAGAGATGATGGTTTATTAGTTGTTAAAAACTCTACTAAAATTAAGGTAGACCGTATTAGGAAAATGATGCATAAGGTATTTAAGGATTTAGGTCTTAGGACTATAGTTACAACTAGTATTAAACAAATGGATTTTCTAGACGTCAACCTAGACCTTGCTAACAAAACTTTCCAACCATATGTGAAGGTTAATTCCAACCCAATATACATGCATCCAAATTCCAACCACCCTCCTTCAGTTATCAAACACATACCCTCTTCCATTGGATTTAGAATTAGCGTTAACTCTTATAACAGGGATGTTTTTAATAAATATCGTGATTTTTACAATTCTGCACTCAAAAATAGTGAATACAAAAATACCACTATTCAATATATA